AAAATACATCTAATTTGTGTAGGAAGGAAGGAAGGGAGGAAGGCAGGAAGGCAGGAAGGCAGGAAGGCAGGAAGGCAGGAAGGAAGGAAAGAAGGAAAAGGTAACTGAGTAAGACACATGAAAGCCACACAGCACCCTGCAGAAGTAGCTGTTTACCAAACAATCCCATTTGTACCCCTGATTTACCTCCTCCTAATGATGATGATAAAACAGTAATAAACAAGAAAGAAACACGTCTATCTAAAACCACACCCAGTAGGTTCACAGTAGGTTCTACTGTGCACATGGCCTTTCCTTTAATTCAATAATTTGATAAGCTACTTTGGGTATACCCAAAGTATACCCAAATTTGGTAGATTATCAAATCATACTTTCTAAGGAGACTGTAAAATAAAAAGATAGTTAAGCTGTTTAACATAAAAAATGAACAAGAATTTAAACCTGTTTGAGAAAGGAAGGTAGGTAAGGAAGTAGGAGAGAAAGAGCTGAGAAACTGATTACAGTCTAACAAATGTCAGCCAGTAGGAAATCCCTAATGGAAGCCATGGTAATTTTAAACTATTTGCATTGTTGGGATACGTATGTTTTACTGCCCCTTGCATTCATAGACCTTCAGGCTGGTGATACCTCAGGAGCATGGGGTCATTGGGATCTCAGCTCATACAGGGTGACATCATGCCAAAAGGGAACATCACAGCACATTTCATTGAGGCAATCACCCGCTGAACTCACACAATAGAATCAGGAACTTCAAACCAGTCTTGATTTAGAAGAAAACACTGGAGCACACACAAATGGAATTTAAGCCAATTCCATTTCAGTCTCAAAGAACAGGGTGACCCTAGGTGACATCGAGCAATAATGATAATAGCAAGATTTGAGTGTACAAAGAAACTTGGAATCAGCAAATAAGATTACTGGATTTCTCCAGAGGCAAATTATGCATTGTTAAGAGCATAGCATTCTGGGTCATCTGATTCTGTCTTTTCATCACCTTTGAGCTATTTTTCAACTCTGTAAATTGTAGGAAATTAAAACGCAATGAAAACGACTCTTGACTATGAACATGTAAATGAATTGTCTGGTGAAAGGACACACTTCCCTCCTCCAAGCCAGTTTTGTGTCGGTTTGCAAATTAATTTCATTGTTTTTGATCTATAAATCTCTGGGGTTTTTTAAACATATCTTTTGAACCAGATATGCTATCTGCCTGATCCCATCATTAATAATGAGTTGAAATCTTTAACACATGTTCATTTTATACCTGTGTGAAAATTATGATTTTTTAATCCTTTTTTAAATTATCTTTTTAGCAAAGACACTTATTATAAGCCAGATGCTACATGAAATATTTTACATGTACTACATCCATATCATCTTCCCAACTCACTGGAATTGGGTACTATTATTATCACCACTTTATAGGTCAGTAGTCAACAAACAACAGCCCTGTGGGCCAAATCTGGCCTGCCAATTTCAGCCTGCAGCCTGTGTTTGGCAATAAGATTTTATTGTAACACAGCATGCCCATTAGTTTATATACTGTCTATGACTGTTTCTACCCTACAACAGCACAGCTAAATACTTGCACCAGAGACTATATGGCCCACCAGTCCTATAATATTTATTATCTATCCCTTTACATACAATGTTTGCTGCACCCTGTAATAGATGAGAAAATAGGCTTTGAAAGGTTATAAAAATTATCCAAATTCACACGCTGGTGAGTAGCATAGCCCAGACCCTTAAGTCTCCTTCCCTGTATTATTTCTCAGATGTCAATGCTCCTGAGCTTTTACTTGTCCCAAAAAAGATCAACTCCCATATGGCATAATTTTAGTGTTTTTATAGTCAGTCTCTTTCTGCCTCCATTCATATACCCGTGCTTGGAATTTCTTTAGGAAAGGACCATTCTTTCATGTTGCAATGATAAGGTAAAAATGAAAAATATCTGACAGAAGAAATATAAAAAGTTTGGTTTGTGTGAAGGTGATAATGATGGAGAACAGACCCCATTCTCTGAGTAGAAAAAGAGGCCAAGCCATTTATTTGCACCTGGAGAGAAAACGGAGTGATCGTTCAAAGGGAGGTTGGCACAAAACAAAACTGAGGTTGCCTAAGGGCAGTCAGGTACCTAACTCAATTCACCTACATGGTTTGCTCTCCCTCACCGCCTCCAATCTGGTTTGCATTTTATTGTCAAAAGTAGGGGTAAAATGTTATTGCAGCAGTAACCTCTTATTAGCTGGCATTAGCCCCTCAGGGCAATTGTTCTATCTAAAGCTATTCTATGCAGTGGTATTTAACAAGTTTCCTTTTGGAATCTTGTCATCTCTCCCTCCTTCCCTATCTCCAGCTCTTTACTCCCATATGACCCCAATTAGTGTGTGTGTGTGTGTGTGTGTGTGTGTGTGTGTGTGTGTGCGCGCGCGCGCACATGAATGTGTGTGTATGTGCAGGGGGCCCACATGGTTTTCCTTCAAAGAAACAAGCGCACAGAGCTGTAAAATAAATGAGATCTGCCCAGCACTCATGTATTCATTATAATTTTTCAAAACCCACAAGAAGTGAAAGGGCCAAGGTGTCAATGGAAAGGCTAATCAGAATTTAGAAGGGCAATGAAAACCATATAAATGGGATTCCACTTGAAATTCTATGAACTGCTAAGGATGAAGTATTCAGGCAATTAATTCACTAGTAACTGAGCACAATCTGGAACAAGAGGGACATCGTGTTTAGATTGTATTTCCATCCCTTCAAAAAAAAAAAAAAAAGGAGAAAACGCTTTCCAAAAGAATACTGCTGTCTTTCTTTAACCATCTCTTGACAAGGGTTTGACACAAGCAAATATCTTCGAGTAAACCAAACGATATAAATTTTAGCCACAAAAGAAAAGCCAAGAAGAGGTCTGCACATTAACCAGGAAGAAAAGTCATCACTGTCCACACCAACATGCTCTGAGATAGATACAATTGATTCTTGTTGTTCTTGAATTAGTGAGTATTAAATCATTGCTCGAAGGGGAAATCCAGGGATAGAATCTTAAGAGCATTTTTTATATAACCTGTTTTAGGTGTGGTTCTGTTTAAAGACACCTTTTTAAACATATATATTGTTGATTCATTAACATTGAACTTATGGCTAACAGCACTATAACTCATGCTTGAATGAGACTTATCTAACACACATGTTTTTTCCATAAGGCACCTTACAGCCCTCTTGCAGCTAGAAAAACTAGACAGAACTTCAGCAGTGCACTTGAGGGCCATTTTAAACAGAGAAATCACCCACAAACAAAAATTTGAAAAAGGTGACACTAACTAAACCATGAAAAGGACACTGGCTACAGTATGAGAGCTGAAACAAGAAGACAGAACATCACCTTGTTCCACCTCAGTTGTGAATATGTGTCAGGTGACTCAAATTTTCACCACCCTGCCCATGCTCATGTCTGTGAATGACTACAAAAATACACTGAATTTTGATTTGGGAATTATGAATGGCTTTTAGCAAGTAGATATTTGCAAATACAGAATCTGAGAATAATGAGGATTGGCTGTATCTATTTTCCCCAGAAGCTGCATAAGCAGCAAATAACACTGTGAGGATAACACAAACAGCATTGCCAGAATATGTAATATAAACATTTTTAATTATAGAGACCTCATGCACAAGTATCACAAGAATTCACAAATACTGTGAATTCTTTAAGGAGAATGTCAAGTTGAACAGTTGGTATGAATGATTTATGAATGGGGAAAATGTTGACTGCTTTATTATCTGGCAGGGATTGTGTGAAACAGTGGCCATTCTTGACATCCAGGAAGCTGGCAATAGTAATTGATTTCCCAGTTCTCTAAAGCTAAGCACCTAAAATCCAATCTCAAGCAACCCTAAGGGCTTCTCGAAGTGTTCTTCCAAAAATCCTTAAAACTCCAGCACATTAACCTTGAGAATATTAAAAGTCTCTGGGTAAGACCCTGTTGTACAATAAGCCTGTTAAGGAAATGGTTGAGTCAAAAAAATATTAATGGTTGAGAGAAGTCAACAAAAAATCAGTATTAGCTATTTTGCATTTCATAGAATAAAACTGTGTTTCAGTAAAGAAAAAAAAACTATGCATCTTTGACATATAGCACATCCTTCCAATTTACCAGATTCTAACCTTTTTTTTTTTTTTTTTTTTTGAGCTACGTTGTAATCCCTCTGAGTTGTAAATAACTGATACACATGTAAATGCTGTCCAGTGTGGTAAAGATTTAATTGATTCTCCTTATCCCCAGGGTAAAATATAATTTTTGCCTACAATGGAAATTCATTTCAGCATTCCTTTGCTAGCCAGATAAGTTTGCAGACTTTTCCTCTGAACCAGCTATAGTTTCTGCCTGGTTCCCTCTGTCTTTCTTTCTACCCTCTTAGGTACAGTACCAGGAAGCCTGAGAATTAAACTAATAAAGGACAAAATAGTAGGAGAAAAGGCACACAATTTTTGTTAATGTTTATAGGCACTGAAGTTCACAGAAAAGAAGTAAAATGCAAAGAAGAGTTGGACTCTGGGGTTACGTACCATTTTAACAAAGAAAAGAAGGTTGTGCTTCAAGAGCTGATAAATCACTGGGAAGTTACTGGGGGAAAAATGGAAAATAAAGTCTTATTTTAGTAAGATCTGCTGTACAAACTCATTGTGGTGTAGGCTCTGTCTCCAGTGATAAGAGTGCTCTTATCTTCTGGGGTGGGAGAAGGGTGGGGGATCTGTAGGTAGAAGGGGGCAGATACCTTCATGAAGGGAAACTTATGCCCTGCTTTAGGCAGATAAGGGGAAGGCAGAGAACTTCCTGCATCTGTTGCCTCTCAGTTGCCTTTAACTCAAAATAATCCTTGTGCCAAAGTGGTATATTTAGGGTTGGTGTATTCTGATCCCCTTTACCATATATATGAGTAAAATAAAATCATTAATGCATGTTCATCTTTTAATATCTGTATAATTGTTATTATTTTACCTTTTTCTAAAGAACTGCTCCCAGGGCCTTAATTCCTTTGTGCCCTGTGGGAGAAATATGGGAAGATGAAAATGAGATGTTTGTGAAGTCTTATGTATCATTGTCCAGACACTACTTAAGAGTAGGTACAGTATCAGCTCTACTTACAGAGCACATTTCTATAATTTGTATGGAGGAGGGTGAGGAGAAAGGCCACTTTGGAAAGTGTTTCTGGTTGGGATTAATAAAAGGACTATATTAATCAGAGTGGCGAAGGACTGTAGACAACTTCCTCAAAGATTTTTCAAATCTTAGGTCGCACTCAAGCTTAGGATAGAACTTTAAGCAATTTTCCAAGATAGCTCTTAGAGAATAACTAAAAAATTAGGTTGCTGAGTAACCCAAGGCTCCTCTAGATTATTTACATTGTCCATAGCCTCAGATATCATCTAAAGGTAGTTACTGACCACCACATAACTTTCTGTTAAGAGACAATTCTAGTATAGCTTTCTTTTGAAAGTGTGTGTGTGTGTGTGTGTGTGTGTGTGTGTGTGTGTGTGTGTGTGTAAGAGAGAGAGAGAGAGAGAGAGAAAGCGAGAGAGAGAGAAGAGAGAAGAGAGACCCTTCATTATCTAAGCAACATGTTAAAGGAATGATGGGTGGAAACTGCTCTACTTCTCATTAACAAGTCTCTATAACAATTACCAGAAATGCAGAACTTCATGGCTGGCTAGGACTCCAGGAAATCTGAGACACATTCTCAGGCCCAGGCTAATCAGAGCTATGGCATTTCTTCCACTCTCCATACTTGGAGACATCTAATCACTATCTGGAAGCTCAGCCTCATCGCTTCTCGGCCTTTTGACTAAGATCAAGTGTGGAAGCTCAGCCCAACTTTTATAGTAGCAGTCATGAAGCATTCTGACCTGAAGAAAGAGGTTCTTAAACATCCCAGTTCATTATGCCTGCATTCAGACTCAAACCAACTGCTTCTTAGCCAACGCAGAAGCAATGCCTCATTTCCAATAACAGCAATACTTTAGCTTTATTCCCAAACTTCACTCCCTTGCAAATATTCCTCTTGCCTGTGGTAGGCATTTGTTCATTAGGGCCATATAGTATCTAATTTCCTCCTTCCTATTTGCACTCTGATCTCCTTTATAGGGAAATTCTTCTTTATGAGTATTTATGAATATTTTTGGTAAGGATAACAGCTCACTTCCTTACATCACAACCCAAAGGGGCTGCATTATTTTCTTTTTGTCCTGGCATCATCAGTGAGATGGGTACATGACTTAGTTTCAGTCATTCAGATGTGTCATGTGTATGTGCTTTTGAGAATAATCAATTCTATCAAATAAATAAGCATGTATCTAATAAAAATAGGCAAAACAGGGGCGCCTGGGTGGCGCAGTCGGTTAAGCGTCCGACTTCAGCCAGGTCACGATCTCGCGGTCAGTGAGTTCGAGCCCCGCGTCGGGCTCTGGGCTGATGGCTCAGAGCCTGGAGCCTGTTTCCGATTCTGTGTCTCCCTCTCTCTCTCTGCCCCTCCCCTGTTCATGCTCTGTCTCTCTCTGTCCCAAAAATAAATAAACGTTGAAAAAAAAAATAGGCAAAACATTTAAGGTGCTTCAGTATAGGTAAATAGCTAGTGAGCAAAAAGTTTGTTGGATGTAGGCAGAGCCTACAGAGTATGATGAGCATAAGATAAGAAGCTAGCAAGTAGAGCATGTGTGTGTCCAACATAGAGAACTATGAAAGGACCAACAATATTGGTGCTATATTCTACAGCACATGGGTACTAAGCACACATACACTTAAATACACTATATTGCAGCACTTAATATATATGATGCCTTAATTCATCACCAACTGGTGATACCCATTTCGGCACCATGTGTTTTCTGCCCACAAAACACAAATAAAATCCGTGGCTGCTCTTCAGAATATTTGGCACTGTCCAGCTATGGCTAGTTGCACTTGTCCCTGTATCTGTCCAACAGAGCAAGTGTGTGTCTTTGGCCCAGGGCATCATCTGTCTGTGGGCCATTTGCTCAAACCCCAGTTTTGGTTCTGCAAACACACTTTTGGTGGAGAAGACTCATGGGGCATAGACAGGAAAGGCATACAAACATTGCATATCCTAAGAGTTAGATTCTATGGCCCTCTCGTTCCACGTGTTCCTATGCTATGTGGGTTAACTTACCTCAGCTCTTTCCCCTTGCTTCTCACCATGTGTTTAAATTCAGTTGAATAAATCATGTCATTTGAGCATCTTAATTTGGTTCATGAGGTTTTCTGTCCTGTGGCCTCTGGGATAGCCTGCCAGGTAGTACATTTGGAGACTATCACTGCCTGGTAATTCTCCTCTGTCCTGGGACTCTGAGTCAATAGTGAGTGATGCAAGGGTGTGTCGTGGCAGCCTGAGGACCAGGCTGTGTTAGCACAGGAATCTTGGCCGTGGTGCACCCACCACCCCCCCCCCCCACCCCACACCTCCTAGAGTCCTCCTGATTCCAATATTTTTGGTTTTTTTAATTGTAAAATAAGGCATACATAAGAAAAGTATATAAAGGATGTGTAAAATTTGGCAGATAATTATAATACAAACAACCGTGAAACCTCACCAACAGGTAGGAAAATTAAAGCCAGATGTAGGAGTTAAATTTGCCCAAGACTCTTTCTCCTGTAAGTTGGTCTCTGAGAAAAAAAATTGGTTTCATGCAATGTTCCCTGGAAATGGGCTGCGGGCTGGTGTTTAAGGCAATTGATCTTGGTCAACTGTAAGGCTTGGATCACAGTCTCTTTGAATATCACAGGAGGGGGGAATGCTGATTTGGCAAGTCCTGCCACTTACTTGCCATGTCATTGAGCTATAACTACCAGGCCAGCCCCTGGTTTGTAGGCATGGTGCTACATCATACACAGGGACTAAGCTGGTGGGGTAGGGCCAAGGCCAAGGTTCTATCACTGCAGTAAAAAGCTCCAACGGCCAAGGGTTGCAATCCCTGACTCAGAGTCTTATATCTGGCTCTGCTGGTTATCTGTGTGCTGCTCAGGGACATGCACATGTGCCACTGATACTCACTGCATGAGTTTCCCCAGTGAACTTGACTCTAGCAGGTAGATGTCATGTGTTATGCCTGGTGACTTGTCCTCATTTGCATGATGCAAACATTACCAGTGCCTACTCTCCCCTCCCATGTGCCCTTCCCCAATCATAATCCCCTTCCTCTCTCCTAGAGAGGTCTCTTGTGACCTGTCTATTGTGACTCTTATTTTCTTTCTATCACCTGAAGATTCATTACTAAATAACTCAGTTTAGTTCTGTCTCTTTGTCTATTTTGAAACATTATATAGTATATGAGATTTGTCCACGTTGCTGTGCATAGATGTATTTTATTCTGTAAAGTTATTTATAGGTCTGTTCTATCATAGATAAACATCTCCAAGTGGAATTGCTGGGTGATTGGGTACGTGTGTGCTCAGTTTTGCGGAGATAATGGGAATGAGTTTCCCATAGTGCTTGCACCATAGTTCCTGCAGTGGATGAAAGTCCTGTTCTACATTCTCACCTCTACTTAGCATTATCTGATTTATTAATGTTTGCCAATCTGGTGAATATGTAAGGATGCCTCAATGTGGTTTTATTTTGCATTCTCCTTATTTCTAATGAGGCTGAGAGCCTTTTCATGTACTTATCAGCCATTTTAATTTCTTCTCTTTTGTAAATGCCTGTTCAAGATCTATGTACAAATTTCTATCGACTCAATATGTCTTTTTCATATTTCATATTTGTAGGAGCTCTCAGTATATTTTGAATCTAGGTGTTTGGTAGCTAAATACGAAAAATAACATCTTCCACTCTTGTAGCTGGTCTTTTGACTCTTTTTTTTAAGTGTTTTTTGATGGATAGAGTTCTTAATTTTAATGTAGTAGAAAAAGTGATCTTTTCCTTTATGGATATTTTTTGTGTCTTGTAAGAAAATTCTTCCCAACCCTGACTTCATGAAGATACTTTCCTGCACTATCTTCTAAAATGCTTTACAATTTTATCTTTCACATTTAGGTCTTTAAGCCACCGGGAATTGATTTTTTGTAAATACTTCTACTTTTTTTTCCCACAAGCCAAGCCTCCAACCTCTAATCAATTTTGCAAGTCTCTGATCACCCTATAATAAATCCTCTTTTTGCCTTAGATAGCTAACATAAGTTTCTGCTGCTTTCAATCAAGAGCTCTAGCTGGTAAAATGGACTACTGCCTTGGCTCCCATCCCTGGAATCCTGCCTTTTAACCCCAGCCCAGTTATGTGCCCTGTGACTACACGCAGACTGGTTTTTGTCCGTGGTTTGGACTGTGCCCAAAGATTGCCATACTCCATGATCTTGTGCCTTACCCAGCAGACTTCATATTTCAGAACCTGCAGTTGGATTGGTTCCACCAGCTCCTGTCCCACTGCCCAGTTTCACTGTAAGTTAAAAACCATGCTCCACTGATTCTCAAGATATGACATGAAATTGTACACTAGCCTGTAGACGCTCAGCTGGAAGAGCGAGAGGCCCATAGAAAGAGGGTTATAGAGATAACATTCATAAGTCATCGCCAATTGACGTCATCTGCTAAGCCAGGCAGGGGAAAGCAGGCTTAATTCCCAGTTGGGGATTTCAGATCTTATTGCTATTCTTTGTTTCTCCTATCAGGAGACCATGCAGGAAGATTCACACTTTACTTTTATCCAAGTGGTTTATTGATTTGTGGATTCAGTGAAATGTGCATCAATTGAACTAACCATTCCCTTTAAGTAAGGGGGGAATTTCACACTGTGCTGAAATTAACAGGCACAACAGTACTGCCTCTTAGAGTTCAACCACAGCACAATAGATGCACACAGTGTGAGGGCAATCTGAAGATTAAATAGCTCTACTTCATCCCTAGCAATCAAAAGCCAGTGTGCTCTTATTCTACTTTCTTTGCTTTCTCTTCCCTCACACCAGACATACACACTTCAAAGAGATTATGTACACTGTTTAATAGAAAATAGATTTCTTTCCTTCCCATCCTTCCACTTTCTTTTTATATCTCTAGGTTTTATTTTTCCTCACCTGTTCTTAAGTGTGTAGCAAACTTTGGATCCTTTTGTTCCTAGATGACTGCTTAAACTTCACAACTTCTCTGATCCAGTCACAATGGAAATAATGTCTAAGACCAGACAAGGTGACAAGTATACCACATTTAATCAATGATTTTTCCTTATAAAATATATAAGCACATGGATATGACTCCACTGACCCACTGTTTTTTTTTTCCTCTTGATAATGAGTAGCTATATCCCCTTTCAACCACTGTGCCTGTGGTTCTGGTGACTAATAATTATAATAATTGACAATTTTATAACTTTTACAGGTTTCACAGTCCTTTGATACACTCATTTCATCTCAAAACTACTAATAAGATAGGTAAGACTTATAGCATCATCTTTAGATTCTTGAGAAGGAAACTGAGGCTCAGAAGGAATTAGTGAATGATATGATGTACAGCCAAGATCTAATCTTGACTATTATGCCTCCTTGGCCAGTGCTCTTTCCCAGATTATTGTCCCATATTAAACAGTTCTCTATGTGACTATAATAATATCTATTTTATGGAAAACTGACCAAGGATCAAACCTGGCCATTTTCATGTCTTTTAAAACCATCTGATTCCATACTTGGCATAAGTGTGCTACTATAAGAACTATAGAGGCACAAACTGTAGGATAATGCTATTAATAAATATTACTATGTCTTAGGATTCTGGGAATACCTAATATATGGAATAGAATCTGATTTGAGGTTTCTAAGCCTTTTTTTTCTTTAGCAATTCACATTAAAAACTTATTTATTGTTGAGATTAAAAAGCCAAACATATTCCAATAAAATGTATTTAAACAAGAAAGGTAAAATTCCAGACTTCCATCTTTATTAGCATACAAAAAGCCTGTTTATGAGTAAACAGGCTTTTTACAAACATATTTAGGTCTTTATAACTTTCTTTCTTTCTTTCTTTCTTTCTTTCTTTCTTTCTTTCTTTATTTAGAATACTTAGCTATTAATTTCAAGGCTGGGTGAAGTTCTACTGCATTAGAAATAAGGGATTTGTTTAAATAGGATTATAAGAGATGAAAGAAGAGTGTTCAAGAAAAAAGCTATTATACATGTATATTTTTTTTAAATCTTCTATGCTGATTACTCCAACTCTTCCAAAAGAACAAAGGGAATTTCTTTTTTTCATGTTGTCATTTATTTAATCTCATGCTTGTTAATTCAATCTCCATTATTCATATAGTTACTACCATATGTTTGTTGCATTAAACCACAGGCTATAGAAATATGGGTAATCACTATAACCTTAGGGGTGAGATTACACAGGTTGACAAGAAGTCCCACAGAAAGAGAACCAATCACTGCCTTGAAAATCAAAACAAGCTTGCCAGAGGAGATACTATTTAATCTTGGAAGAGCAAACAGGAGCATCCCTTATAGTAAACCCAATTCTTCAGCTGTTGTGTGACATTAAAGCCTTCTTATGGAGTTTAGTGGGACATGAAATAGGCATGAGAATTGGAAACCTATGGATTTCAAGATTTCCATCCTGGCATCCCACACTCCTATGGCTCCATAAACTAGTTCCAATATTTCAAACAACCTAGAAGAAATCAAATGGTTCTTCTCCACTCTTGTTTGTTGTTTATTGACTGCTCTGCCTCTGAATTTTCTTTATCAGTCTGAGCGAGCATCCTTCAGAAGATAGCCCTTATAAGTCATGTATCCCCAACATAATTTATAGGAAATAACTTCAACTTCTTTATTTTACTTCAAAGTCTACTCTTCCTCTCCCATGTCACTTAAACTACTTGTGACTGGTGGGCTTATCTCCCCATCTTTCTGTAGAGGAGTTAGGAATGGCCTTGGGAGAATTTTAGCCTTCACAATTTTAATCACCCTTTTCCCTTCCACATACACAAATTACTCCAAAAGAGAAGAAATTCCAAATTTAAGAAACATTCTTTTTCTATACAAAAACAACACAAAGAAATCACCTGGTCTCCTCCTCTAACCAAAATGCTGACTGTCACAGATGTTTTTCTCTATATACCTAGCAAATCCACCCTCTTTCCTTGCTAAAAGAACCCTGCTTTTGTTCAAATAGTGGGCAGCCAAGCTCAGAAAGGTTGTACCCCTTCCCCTCCCCAGGGACTGAAATCTGATCAGTTTAAGACTGCCATACCAGTGTGGACTCAGATGTATATATAAGATCCTTTTCTGTCCAGTGACATCTGAGGGCAAGTCAGGAGCTTCTAGAAAATATTTCAATCTGTGATTTAAAAAAAGAGAGAGCAAAAAACATATGATAAGAACTGTCTTTTTCTTTCTTCCTGCCTGTGGATGTCTTTGAAAGCTTTGGGACCCCTTTAGGCTCCTTTGGACAAGGATGCGATGCTACTTTGTGATATTGAGTAGATAAGCATAAAGGCAAGACCACTATGCTGGCTGTGGTAGGGTGATCAGTTGAGATAGAATCTGGATCCTATGTGACATCACTGTTTCATCGTACAACTATGGAACTGCCCTGTCTCTGAACTTCTTACTCGATATACAAAATGTCCTCTTGGTTTAATTATCTTCTATAGAGAAATATTGGAGCCAGCATTGTCCTCTTGCCCTTTTAACCTGACAATGTACCTGGTTCCCCTACCTTAAACTTTGGTTTTACCCAAAAAATTTAGCTCCAATCCTGCCCCCATTCTCCCCACCCTGTCTGGATTTCTTTCAAATCTAATACAACCAAGAAAGCATGCAGCTCAATCTGATATACCCAAACCTGACTTTGAGTCATTTGGCCCATCTTGGTCATTTGTGAAAACACAAAAGAATGAAGAAGTACTTCATTATAAACGCCTTTGATAGCAAATAAATTGAAATCAGTTCTAACATGATAACTTTCTTTGGGGCAGACAAAAGTGGTTTAAAATATAAAATATATAAGTAATTTTTAAAAATTCCTGGTGCTGGGACACCGGGGTGGCTAAATTGGTTAAGCATCGGACTTCGGTGCAGGTCACGATCTTGGGGTTCATAAGTTTGAGCCCCATGTCAGGCTCTGTGCTGACAGCTCAGAGCCTGGAGCCTGCTTTGGATTCTGTGTCTCCCTCTCTCTCTCTCTACCCCTCCCGCCTTTCACTCTGTATCTCTCTCCCTTTCCCTCCCTCTCTCTCAAAAATAAACATTTAAAAAAAATTTTAATAAAATAAAATTAAAAATTAAAAAAAATAAAAATTCCTGGTGCTAAGTGTTTGCAAATCACTATCATAATGTGGGTACTGATTTGGCTTAGTGGGAAAAATCTAGAATATATAAATCTCTTGAAGATGTGGTCGACCAAAACCTTACAGTCAATAGCCAATTTTAATTCTGGGTGATGATCCAAATAAAAAATTCTAAATTCAGAAAAAGCTTAAGATAAAAAGCTATTTATACAGCTAAATATTAGAAACAATCTAAATAATAAACAATGGTAGAGAATAAATTAAGTAGATTATGATGTAGCCATATAATTAATGTAATAATTAAAATAGTATTTTGCTATTTGACTAGCCTGTGAAATGCTGATTTGTTACATAAAAACTCAAAGTACGAATATGAGATGTATAATGTATTTGTAAGAATCATGTTTTAACAATACCCTACATAGAGAAAAGATGGAAGATGAAAATGTTACTAAAATATAAAAACAGTTATTATAGTTGATAATGGAAACGTGGAGAATTTTTACTTTCTTCTTTTTATTTTTTAGTACTTTCCAAGTGTTCTTTTGCAAAGGTTTAAAAGTTTATTTACTTATTTTTGAGAGAGTAAGCACACGTGCGAGCATGCACATGCATACAGGGGAGCGGCAGAGAGAGAGAGAGGGAGAGAGCATCCCAAGCAGGCTCCACACTGTCAGCACAGGGCTCAGTCTAAAGAACAGTGAGATTATGACCTGACCTGAAATCAAGAGTCAGATGCTTAACCAGCCAAGCCACACAGGCACCTTTCTTTTGCAAAAGTTTATTGCCAAAAGTCTATTGCAAAAGTTTATTTGGTTGATTGGTGGCTTACTGTCAGCCACAGCCCGAAACTGGACCAGGGCTTGGCAAATGCCCCCAGATAGATAAGGCATAAGTATACCTAACACCAAACCAGATGAAAACTGAAAATTTTAAACCAAACAATCCAGATTCCAAATTCCCAGATGTTTGCTGGAAAGTAAAGTAAGCCACCAAACGTTTAAATGCTTAGGTTTGTTTTCCACTTGGCGTTTTGTCTGTGACTAGCTGGGTGTTGAAACAACAGCAGCTAAGGTTTCTGAAAAAGTGGAGGAGTGGATGCTCTGGCAGAGAAACACACAGACGGAAGTTGACTGTGCGACTGTCTGAGCGACATTTGTGCTGGAGTAACTAACTGCTTCCAAAGAAAGGTCCAGATTTTTAATAGAAGCATGTCGGGTACAGCAGCTTACTGGATACTTCTACCGGTCTAGAGAGGAGAAGAGAAATTGCCATTGACACAAGATGAAAGGATGGTTGGGTTCCATTAGGAATCTCTTATAAGCCTCTAATCCTGTCTTCAAGGACTGCAAAGAGTCACTTAACCAACAACAGGGACTGGGGTTTCCTAGAATAGGCACAGCTCCTTAGCTGCCTCCTAATCTCCCACTTGCCTGGAGAAGTGCCAGGGTATTAACATTTAAATCACCAAACAGGGAATTTGGCCTCTCTGAGTTGTTCATATCCCATTGAGGCTATTTCTCGTTATAGCCTCAAACTTCCCAAGGGGATGGAAAGCCTCACTCTATTAGTATCTGAATCAGTTTACAAGGAAACAGCTGCAACATCCTGGAATAAGAATTAGATGGGGAATCAGGAAGCCTCACTTCTAATTCTGGCTCTTTTGGGAACAACTTTGACCTTAGGCAATCCATTAAAACTCTCAGGCCCACAGATTCTTCATCCTTAGGAACTTGATGGGTTGATCTCTAAGGCCTCAAAGATTCTATTTCCTTATCTTTAAATGTAACCTAGATGGTTGCCACTCAAATGAACACAGAATGCTCTCAGAATCACCTTTTACCTTAAAGTGTAGAAATTCCAGTGTTCTTTCAATGTTTTCTGCAAGTTCCCTGGAAATTATATTCTTATAGTCACCTCATGCTCTAATTTCCTGCATCCAATGCATCTTCCAGCACCTCACTTGTCTTAGGTCCAGCTATAGTCTCTTCTCTCTCTACATTTTCACCCTACAATGTGACACTTCCCTTTCTTGTTTATCCACTCCTCTCTTCTCTACATTTCTTCCCCAAAACAAGCACTATAAACTCTAGAGACAAGAGAGAACTGATGACAGAGACGGTATCCAAAAGAAAGCAGGTTTGGGAATTAAGCTGAACAACAACAACAAAATCCAGCCTAAAAAAGGAGACCAGGCAGGGGAATGAAAATCAGGTCTAGTGATTTTAATAAACAATTGAATAAATAAACATAGGAGGGATGCCTGGTTGGTTATGCATCCAACTTCGTCTCAGGTCATGATCTCTCAGTTCATGAGTTCGAGCCCCACGTTGGGCTCTGTGTTGACAGCTCAGAGCCTGGAGCCTAGTTCAGATCCTGTGTTTCCTTCTGAAGCCTGCTTCAGGTTCTGTGTCTCCCTCTCTCTCTGCCCCTCTCCTGCTTGTGCTCTCTCTCTCAAAAATAAATAAAAATAAATAAAAATTTAAAAAGTTATTTTTAATAAACAAATGTAGGAAAGAAAACAGATCTTTCTCACAGAAAAATTCCAAATAATTTATGTAGAAAATGTAGGGGTGGGAAAACTCCTCTGTACCCCCATGATTTTTGCTGAGTCCCCACAAAAGAATGAAAAAAAAAACCCAGATGAACAAGAGAAAAATGAACAAACGTTATTAACACATGGAACAAGCATTCACAGGGGAGAAACACAGTAATGGGTAACTCCAAGAGATGGTTAAACTTTTGGCTTATATAGCATATTAGCAAAGACCAATACATTTGTAGAGAGGTGGCAAAACAAAGGAAAAGGGTTTTAGGCTTCCAAAGGAGGCAAACTATGGTAAGGTAAACCAATGAGGGAAACCACATCAAGATAAGCACTGCTTTTGCAGGTTCGTCTTGGCACCAACTTCCTGTCTTCTTCACGGCCATAAAACTTCCCCAGGAGAGGGAATTTATGGCAGTCTTCAATCCTTAGAAGTTTCTTCTCTTAGTCAGATATAAAGGAAGATATAGGAAAGCTTCTTTCTGCACTGTTGAATCTCAAATGCCTTTACCTCAAAATAATCCATCTGCCAAAATGCCATAGGGTGACATATTTTGACCCCCTAGAATATTCTCCCCTTTGGGAAATGAAGCCTAGTTCCTTCCCCACTTTCTTTGGGTATGGGTGCACTGGTGACTTACTTCAAAAGAGTAGAGTATGGAAAGGGAAAAACCAAAAAAGTAACATTACAGTGGATAAAGCAGACCAATAGCCACCTCAGTCAGGTGACAAGATCAACATCAACAGTGATAAATCATGTGACAGTATATGGCCTTGATATCATGTGGCAAAAAAAATGGCACTTTACTTCTGTGACCTTCCTTCCAAAGACCTCTAACCACAGCCTAATCATGAGAAAAATATTAGAAAAATTCAAATGGAGGAACATTCTACAACATATCTGACCAATGATCCTCCAAATTGTCAATGTCATCAAAAATAAGGAGAGCTGAGAAATTGTCAGAGCCAAGAGGAGTTTAAAAGAGAAATGATGACTGAATATAATGTATTTAATGGATGAGGGACATAATCCAAAAGAACTAGTGAGATACAAAGAAGATGTAGAGTTTAGTTCATAGTAATGAACCAATGTTCATTTCTCAGTTATGACAAATGAACTACAGTGATGTAAGATGCAAAGAATAGGAGAAACTGCATGAAGGTATGTATGTGGAAACTCTCTACAAAGTATTTGCAATATTCCTGTATTATCTAACGCTATTCTAAAATTTAAAAGTTTATTTGAAAAATCCACCTCTAAGGCCAGTGGGCTGAATTTGGAGATGAGCAAAGTAATTTTAGAAGGAAAATAGGAGATGAGCCTGCAGAGGTTATGAAGAACAATCCCCAGAAAGGGACCAAGGACTTACTCAGGGATGAAGAGGAATGTGGGAAGGCATAGCACTAGAAAACAGAAAACATTATTTATAGACTTTTGAAAAATTATTGGCTCTTTTTTTTTATTCAAGGTGTCATATAAGGGACAAGCCATATGCCCAGAGAACTGTATTTCCCATTTAGAAAGCCCAAGACAAGCCATGGCCTCAGAAGCAAGCATTCACTTCCCTCAGCCACGTTTATAACAGCACATTGTCCTTGAAAAGATTTTGAAGAAAACCAGAAAGCCCTGCAAAAATATCTTGCTGAAACAAGGAGA